TACCACAGTTTGAGCCACTGGAACATCCTGCAGACGCTGGCGCGCAAAGGTGTGCCGGTGCCGGACCCCGCCGACTGCGCGCTCACCGAGACAGTGCTAATACAAACGAACCCGCTTAAGATGGTGAGAGCTCTTATTTTCGACCGACTTCAAACAGGAACCTTAGAACTTTTTTCTGGGTGAACCGATTTCGATGATTATTTTTATTTTTATTTGAAAGCTGGTGCTTCACATGTGGTCTCATATAAATTTGACCAAGGTCTGACCAATAGTTTTGAGTTATTGTCAATAATTTATATTGAAGTCAGTTGTACAATTTTTTTTATTTTTTATTATTTAATACTTATTTCTAGTAAGGGTAAGAAACGAACACAGTCCATCAGATGGTAAGTGAATATTGTGGCTTATAGACACATTAATCCTCGATTAAGAATCAAAATGTAGATCCGTTGGTCACCCCTGAGGAATAAGATGTAACGCCTTACCTCGTTACCGGTAAATAGGGCCTTTGACTAAACCATTGAAAGTTTTTATATATGACAGTAGAAATGAAACATTTTCACCTAACAATAACCGAATTTGTCTAATATAGTCTTAACAAGTCTAACACCATTAAAGTTTACCAACAACTCGTATCATATAAGTGTCGTACTGTATGTGTGTTAGTGTCTAGGGATCCACATACCCCACATACCACACTAAAACAACTACACTGAAATGAATGAAATCTGTACCGGAGACTTATCATCATCAGTTCGATGAAGTTGTAAAAGTATCCTAATACACGTTACTAGCGATAATTATTACTGTGTTTATTGGAGAGCTTCAAACATTTATTTATTCATCATCATCATCATTATCATCAATACAGCCCTTCACATGTCTACTGCTGAACATAGGCCTCCCACAAGGAATGCCACAAAGCGCGGTCCTGAGCCACCTGCATCCATCGAATTTCTGCATGTCTTACTAGGTCGTCACTTCATGTAGTGGAGGGCCGTATTACACTTCGCCTACCGGTACGAGGCTGCCACTCGAGAAGTTTTCTTCGCCATCGATTATCGGTCCTTCTTCCATATGGCCGGTCCATTGCCACTTCAACTTACTAATCCGTTAGGCCGTGTCGGTTACTCTGGTTCTATTTATTCATTACAGCCTGTCAGGTTCCACGGCTGAACACAGGCTTCCCCATAGATTGCATCATATATTTTCCATAGTCGCCCCGTTTGGCAGGCGGATTGGCAACCGCAATTTTTTATTTTTTATTTTCTCCTTGTTGTTAAGATGACGCTGCTGCCTATCTGTTTGGAGATTTAAAGATGTATAATTTTATATCGCAGTTTTATTAATTTTAAAAATAAAATAAAAGGATTTACCACCAGCAATGCTGGACCAGCACTGCTGGTGTTCTAACTTAAAATTAAAAAACAGTAATTTGTGCTAAAAGTTATATAAAAGTTATTTTTAAACACCTTTGTAATAATGGCTGTATCAAAAAACTAGTTAGAACCGAAAGGCGCATCCCACGCACAAAATCGTTAACTTGAGAAACTAGGTGCCGCAACTGCAGTGGGCAGAATACCGTAATAACAGGAATCTCTTCTGGTTTCTTGCTAATAACTCCTCCGGCGTTAGTCATTTCATTGTAGATATTGTATTGAACCCGTTTTTTTCATTATTGTAACGATATTAAAATTACAATCTATTAATAGTATCACAACGAAAAAAGCAGTTAAAAAGAAAGATGCGGTTTTTTTAAATTAAATATAAGTGAATGTAATGTAATGAATTTCAGAATAATCGTAATATTGTAAATTAGAAATTTAAAATAAGTACCTTATATCTTTATTACTTCCGCAGTAACTGGTAAAATGGTTAGTTATCACCTGTTGTTAAACAACACGCCTGAAGACATGTTCAAAGTGAAGCTCAATTTATTTATGCCATCATTAATAATTACAGCCTCTCAAAAGTCTACTGTTAAACAAAGGCCATAGTTGTAACGCTTGGCAGACGTAGTTTTTAACTATTTTGGGTTATTATCAATCAGAAGCTGCTGCTCATCTCCTTTTTCATTTTCTACTCTGTCGCCTATTACGACACCCACGGGATGACATGGGATAGTGGATTTATTACGCCGCCACTACACGGTATTTATTCATTAAAAAGTTTTGTAAAGATTTCAACTATTTAAACTAAAAAATGACAACTGGAAACTAGAAAAATAAAATGTTAACGGCAATGACCTTTAAAATGTACCTTTAAATTTCTCTTTCGTTACGTGTGCCCTTATAAAGTACTAATAAACTAACAGTGCACTCACACATCGAAAAGAAGGCGAAGCTTTACTGTTTTTTAGTCCTCAGGGGCGACAATTGATTTTTAATTCAGTACAGTGTCGGTGTACTAATTTGTCACCCTTCCTTTATAAAAAAAAAACATGCGTGATTGTCGTGGAACACTCGGTTGGAACGAAGTTCCTTCCGTAGTATTTTTTTAAATACTAGTAATTCTATTACCCATTACTAATGTTCCCTTAAACCACTTCTAGTAAGCTTAAAATGCTTGTGTTGACACTTCTAAAGCTTGTGTTAGAGGTTCACGATCCGCCAAATTCATACCGTCCTCATCAGCTGGATCATAAAGAACTTCGTTCCAAAACATCGTTCCAAAACGACTAATACTTTTGATGATGTCTGTAAAATGTAAGTGGTAGCCAAGTGGTACTTACCGTCAGGTGGACTGATGATTAGTGGCGTTTGTCACTCGCATTGTATAAAAAATAAATTTTTATTCATCTGCCGAAAGAAGTTAAATTATTCTTGTAAAATATTTTAAGTAGTTATAACATTAACGTATTGATATTTTTACCCGTGATCTATCGAGGAAATATTTAACTGAACCGAAAGTGGATCGAGAGCGATTCAGTAGTGTAGGTTGAACCTTATAAGGCAAGCGAAAAGCTGTATAGTATAGTTTGACTTAATCCGTCTTTATGGACGAGACCAGGCTAGAGTAGCGTAGCATGTTCTAACCGCGTTTCATATTGGCGATTAATTAATGTTGCACAATCGTATACTCTATTCTGAGTAATGTTTTATTATTAAAATTAAAATTAGGTTTCTTCGTATATTTGGTCATTGTTCAATATAATTTCGTTTGGTAATAATTTTATACGAATAAAAATGGTAAAATGTAGATTACTACGAATTGAATTAAACACGATTGCATTTGAATTGTTTTTCAAAATTACACCTAAGGTCTTCGCAATAATCATAACTGAATGAATTTCTTAAAATTTCATAATGTTGAAATGTAACTTGTATCACTCTGTTAACTGTGAGATTCTTCACCCAAGTAGAGAATATACCATAATCGTTACGCATTCCGTGTCGATTGTGGTTGATTTTCACGTATGGCAGGCGGATTGACGATCCCAGTACTAAACGTCACGCACCTTTGATGCTACTGCTTGTATTGGTCTGGGTATTTTTATATCTACGTCAAATGACCTCACTCACTATCCAACATTTTCTTTGTAGAAGTTGCCTAATATCATTAATTTTTCTCTTTGGTTTTGGGCTCGTACGGTTATACATTTGCCAGTCAACTGTTAAGTTATAAAAAATTATCCTTTATAATATTTTGTTTAAATAAAAACTTCTTTATAATATGCTGATGGCCCAGATTATGAAGTTTTTGTGACATTTTGACGACAGCTTACGAGGGGCACACTGAAATTATCGGGAAGAAGAAAAACCACATGCACGGTATAGCTAAATTTTATTTTATTGTTTTTCGAACTATTCTCCGTTCAACTTAATACACTTTTCCATTCGTGCAAACCAATCATTAAAACAGTAATTCCAGTCTGAAGTTGAGGTTTACAAAATGGCTGATTTGTAGGCTTCCACCGCTGCTTCGGGGTCTTCAAACCGTTGACCGCGTAATAAATCTTTCATTCTAGGGAATGTAAGGAAATCGTTTGGGCTCATGTCAGGACTGTACGGAGGATGGCTCATCAGCTCAACGTTTTCCTGCTTCAAAATAACATTTGTCTTCCGAGCCGTACGGGAGCTCGCATTATTGTGATGTACGATGATGCGACGTTTTGGGTTATTTTTTCGGAGTTCGGCTATAATTTCTGGCAAACAAACCGTGATATACCACTCAGCGGTAACAGTTCTACGTTCCTGTAAAGGAATTGTAGCAACATGCCCCTTTTTCGAGACAAACGTAGGGACCATTTTCTTTGACACGCTGCGGGAAGCGAACCACTTTCGTTGGTTTGACCTCGTCTTCGAAGACCCAAACTGCTGACTGAAGTTTTCTTTCAGGTTCGTATGAATAAATCCATGATTCGTCACCTGAGACGATATTATAAACGGCATTTGACTTCCCTCCGTTGAAGCGTTGCAGAGTATTCCGGCACCAATCTACACGAGCCGCCTTTTGCTCTTCGGACAAATTGTGGGGAACTCAGCGGGAAACTAGCTTTCTTACACACAGCTCATTATGTAATATCGACTGAATTGCAGTCATTCCGATACTGATAACAGCCCGAATCTGCTCGTATGTCACATGACGGTCGTCTAATATAATAGTTCGCACAGCTGCGATGTTTTCAGGCGTGGCCGCTGTTCTTGGTTGACCTGCAGAAGAAACAGTGCTGAGCGATACACGACCGCATCGGAACTTCGCATACCAGCGGTATATTGTCGTTTGACTCGGTGCTTCAACATCATAAATCGAAACAAGTTCGCTGAGACATTTATCTTGAGATAAGCCGCGACGAAAATTGTGATAAATTATGGCACGGAAATGTTCACGCGTGAGCTCCATTTCTGTTAACGACGTGTCAACTTTAAACCAACATAGTTTTTGTTTTTAAACATTTTTTTATTATTTGAATGTCATTAAGATTCTAAGAGGCCAGTATTCAAATTCTAAAAAATGTTTTATTGTGACTCAATCCGAAATATTCTATTCCCGACATTTCAGTGTGCGCCTCGTAAATCAGCGGACAGTTGACGACAGTATCTCAAGTTCATAATGCGCTTAAACAAACATAAAACAAATTGAGGTTCATATGAACATCGAAACACCTATTTCGTTGTTTCTACTAATAGTTCAAAATTAAAATCGCATCACTTGTACGTATCAAAATCCATGTTAAACCATTTTTAAACGATAATGCAGGAGCAACAATTTGTCGGTGTTCAGGTACAATTACTAACAAAACTTTTGTTTATTTATTTTTATGTGTCGCTAAATTACGAATAGAAGTTAGTAAATTATGTTGGTGGTATTGCAGAGCGCGCATATGGCGGTGATGGAGGCCCTGATGGTGCTGTACGCGCGAGAAGTGGTGACCGTGGACCGCGTGGCGGCGGCCATACAGCGGTTCGGCGTTACGCCGCCACCGCCGACCGGCGCCCCGACCCATGAGGATGGACTCATCAGCTGGATCAATGCGGCGTGCGCAGCGCTCAACACTGCAGAGGTACGTACGAGGGTCCATTACGTCTTAATCATTTGGAAATTATCACTTACTACTCTTCATCATCATAATCATTACACTGCTGAACATAGATCTCCTTCAAGGAATTTAAGTAGGAACGTTCCTGAGCCACCTACATCCATCGACTTTCTGCATCTCTTACCATATCATCACTCCCATATAGTAGAAGGCCGCCTCTAAACACAACCTTCAGTCGGTTGTCGGTTCTTCGAAATATATGACTGGCCAAATGCCACCTAGCTTACTGATCTTTTGGGCTATGTCGAGTACTCTGGTTCTACTGTGAATATCCTTATTACAAAGTCTATCCCGCAAATAAACTCGAGCATAGTCTGTCTCTTATAACCACTAGACCTCTCAGATCCATATGTCATCACACAAAACGTACAGGTTGTGCACTCCCGTTTTCAAATACCTCGGCTGTTAAAACCAAGGAGCAATTTGTTCTGTGGTCAAAACTCAGTAATAAACCTTAAACTGTGAATCTCCAAATTCTGAACACTTACTAAGGAGGACACGTCGTCACCCGTGCCGCCCGTGAAGAGTCTGCAGGACGTGTGCGACGGCACAGCGCTGGCCGCACTCGTGTCGTTCTACTGCCCGGAGGTGCTGCCGCGGAGTGCCGTGCGCGTGGGCCGCATGGCCTCCATACACGACTGCCTGCACAACTTAATGCTGGTGCGCGACTTCTGTCGCGAGCGCCTGCCGCACGACGTCTTCCACATGATGCCCGAGGACGTCGCCTACATGCGAGGGTGAGTGCAGCGGTCTCGACATGTTTCGATGATGCCAATATTGCGCGCGTATGGTTGCAGCATAAATAAAGTCATTCATCAGCTCATCCCATCCCATCACATCGTATTTGAAATATCCGATGGCCTCTAATAAATGGCAGTTTAAAACATAATATACAATTCCTAGACCACTTTAGTACTGTGATTGCCAAATCTCTTGTCAAGCGACGTTTACGGATTGCCTCTAAAATGTTACAAACCCATGTTTAGCAGTGGATTCTTTATTGTTAAACATGGTATCCATGTGGTGTTGTGGATGTGTTAACCGTGAAATGTATAATGCAAAGTTCATGCATTTTTACTACATTCTCTCCTGTGACACTTCATCATAATATAGAAAGATTTGGGGGAGTCAGTGCTTCTGTATTTGAGTGTATATTTGGAGAATTATAATATTTCCACGGTCACACATGACACAAGGATTATAACTTTCAAAACAATTAGGTACTTCAAATACATAGAGCTTTAAAAGTCTTCCATCAATGGCCTATTATTACGGGGCCTAAATATGATAAGGCAGTTACGTGCCCGGATTCCTCATGATGTAATCTTAATATGAGTAATGAGGTTTGTTGCTTTTAAATAAAAAATACTTAATGCTCTTTCCAGCTCCATGCGTCAGAACTTAGTAGCAATGCTCGCTGATCTCTTCAATATGCTAGAAGTTCATCCTGTGAAGTCTGTCAAGTACCCGGGCATCGGTGAGTGCATTTGTGAATAGTTTGTCGTAAATTGACATTTTGATGTAAACCAATGTTGCATGCATAGAACTCTAATGGGAGTATGTGGTCATAATATCAAAAGTCCTATGCCCACTAATTTTATTTATTTATCCATATATAAAAGTCATTAATCATGGGGCGGTCAAAACGCTTTTGTAACGCAAGTTGTTCACTTTAGGCAAATCTGGGCTTTGTGGTTTTCCATTGATTTAGATAGGAAGGTACTGAATGAACGCAGTAATTTAATTTGCATTACGAATTTATTATATTTCAACAAATAATGTTATTTTCATTTGTTCTTAGTTAAAAAAAATGTGTAGAGGTAAGTCGTTTCAAGGTATTCAGAATGAAGTAAGAATGTTGCTTTGCTGAATATCCTCTTATTTCCTATCAGGTCACCCTGTCTTTTCGACTGTCATTCACTTTACTGTTGGCGTAAGTTATATTTTTCTGTAATATAGCTTGTAAAAGAGTACAAAACAAATACTTTTGCTTTAAATAGTGCACTCACTAATTATACATTTTTCTGAATTTTAACCTTAAATTGTTATTCGCTTCGACATCTAACATACGGACTCGAGTAATTTGCATCGAAATTCAACTCTGAATGCATACAAATGATGCATGCGGGACAATGCGCGCGACCGCGTCGGTAAGTGAAGGCAGGGTGACTGCGTGTGCACGTGCGTGCGTGCGCGCGTGTGCACGTGCGTGCGTGGAGCGCGCTGAGCGTGCGTGTGCGCGTGTCCGCAGCGCACGCGGACAGCAACGCGCACGGCGTGCGGCACAAGCGCTGCCTGCCGCCGCCCTCGCCCGTGCCCATCCCCGACCTGCGCGCCGACGCCCACGCACACGCCCAAATGACGGCGACGCCCCTGCCAGGTACCCTGTGTCGTGCTGTCTCACACTCGTGCCTGCACACACACTGTGCTGGGAAAGACAACTATTTCGATCTGCTGAAGAAGTCAACAATTTTTTTCACCCGCAACATTTAAATACAGTAACAGTAGAATTTATTATATTAAAAATTGTAAAATATTCTTTATTATATGGAGTAATTTAGTTCCGATATATCATATTGAAGAATTTCACCTCTTCAAAATAATTTGCAATTTTAAACAACTGTCAGATAATTGTATTATTAAATGTTTATCTAACTATATATACTTTTTAAATTTGATTGGTTGTCTTCCAAGCAATTCGAATCACAGATCGGTTAGCACAGCAAGAGTTTGTGTGTGTATTTTTCATTTGTCATATTATATTGATTTAGAATATTATTAATTTAAAATAGTGGAACTTTACATAACATTTCTTATGTAATATCATTAATTCCACAATGCTTTCGCTTCAATTATTGTACTACATTAATGCTTAATGGTCTTGCTTAATGCTTCCGCATGTGTAACGGCTTTTACACTTTATTGTTTATTTTTTTAATTCTTTCGATTTCAAAACAAGTCTAAAGGAGTTCTGACATTATGCCCTCAGGACTCCCGAGAAGTTATAGATTAATAATTTGTGTGAAATCGTAATTTTTTTATATGTAGTGTTCAACTTCTCAACTTCATCGTAGATTCACCACAAAAGTGATCGTAATTAAATTTTTTCTTTACTATTATTAAAATATGAAAACATTTAACATTCGTATATTCTTCAATCTTAGATTGATATCATTACAAGAACCATTTTTCTAGTTTCCCACAAATCATCTGTAGTGCTAGAGATCACAAATTAATATATCTATATTTAGATTATTAATATCATAGCATCCTTTGATAATTGCATATTTATATAAGATATCTTTTCATATTAAGTTGATTTAATAATTTGCCTTTGATAATTTAGTTCAACTTTAAATTTGTTATACTTGAAGTAAACATTAATAAGGAGAGAATTGAGTGGGTGTCCTTGCTAGATTTGTGTTTACAATAACTCGAAATATGCTTACGCGCACGTGGACTATGCCAATGATGTAACTCTGTATCAGAATTACCAGCGCTATGCAATGCAGTGTTATCACCAGCATCGACAAACTGAATTAGTGCTAGCATCCACGAGACTTTATGTTGCTTAGAGTACTTTGTTAACATAATGCACATTGTGGTACATTATGGCACAAATAATATGAGTGAGGCAAATTCGAAGATATTTCTTACTGTTACGTAATAACGTTTCCGTAATTAAAAAAAATCAACATTATAAATTTAATAAATATTTTAGTATTATCGAAATGCCAACGTTACCCAATCCTTTTTTATAGGTATTAAAAATAAAATCTTACCATATCTGGTTAAAATATTTAGTTATTAATTTGAAATGCTTTTGCAGGTTGCATTGCAATAATGAACCCTGGTAGGGTCTTGAAGCGATGAAAATATTACGATATAAAATTGTGGCGTGAACTGCACTACATGTGCCGCGCCGTTGCTATTCAGTTAGCCGTTTAAAGAGTAAAATTTAAAGTATATTCATGTTATCGTAGTCTAAACGCGCGAGTGATTGTATTTGTAATCAATGCTACTCGTATTTGCATCTGATTTAAAAAAGCGCAGCAAAATTTAATTGCATTTCATGAATTCGTATCATTCCATCAAAGTTGTTTTATTAAGAATGTGTGGCCTCACCATTGCTATCTACACTGAATGTTGTTTAAGGTGATATCACGGTTTGTTGTGCCACTTAAAATTTACAAATTAGTCTGGTTGCACTATCTTTTTACTGGTGATGTTTGATTATAATCTGTATGAAATTACCTACATAATAATTAAATTAAAAAACAATAATTATATTCCAAGGCTACACGTATATTTTACAGCCATTTCCATTAATCGCTTCTCAGTTATTGGAGCTATATTTGGTGACAAAAAGGTGGAATTCGCGGGGTCTCGATGTCCGTTCACGATGTTGTTGCGGGGATGCGTAAGTGATTAACAATAGATTGCCAAAATAGTACATAAAACATCGCCAATACAAATCCATTAATCACTCAGTTTATGAGCTGTGACGTGCTGACAATAAAGTTTCATTCGTAACGTCCCCAAGAAGTGCAGAATTGGCGAAGTCCCTTACTTCCTCATTGAATTGTGAGCTTTAAGCGGTGACAATAAGTTCGCATTCGCAGTGTCGCGGTCGCCGTCGGGCGCGGGGGTGCGCGGGCGCACGGCGGGGCGGTCGGCGTGCTCGACGCCGGAGCGGCGCAGCGCCAGCCCGCAGCGCGACGAGTTCGTGGTGCACCGCGGCCGCGCCATCACCACGCTCTCTGCGCTCGTTCGCCGCGACGAGGAGAACGGTACTTATCTATTTCATCATCACTCATCATTAAACCCTATCACAAGTCTGCTGCCGAACATAGGCCTCCGTCAAGGAATGCCACCAATTACGGTCCTGGGCCACCATCCATCGACTTCTTGCATCTCTCACTAGATCGGTACGGTACTCGTGTTTTGTGTGTTTTGGACGTGAAATTTCTCTAAATGCTCGGAGAAATTGGTATAGATCAGACAAAAAGTGAAACGTCTTCCCTTCTCTGCCTTTGATCGGCAGTTGATTGGAAAAATCGCTGGTGGTAATCGATTCCACAAGGAAGTTGTACAAGGAAGAAAACTTCTTCTAAATCACACAGTGGTGGATCGCCAATCATCCAGATAGTATGGATGGTATTGGGAGTTTTGTCGCGATGTGCGATGGTGAAATTGAGCGGCTGGAATCAGTCCGAACAACGCTTGGGTTATAGTTCTGCACGACATGGGTATGGGTGTGAAACTTTCCTTGCATTCAAATATAATTTTATTGTATCTGTAGCACGAATGTTTGACTCGGTCGGGGAAGATCCTCGCTGGCATATAAAAATGTACTGTGGTTAGCAACAAGAACTAGAGAATCTTTTTGGTGATAACCAAGTATTTTGTTTTAGTTTCGAGTTTTTACCTTGTTATGTCAAAGCGTACGTATCAAAAAGCTCTAAAGTCGCTGAGCGAGCCACGGGGCTAAGCTCGGGATTTCTCCACGTGATAGACTTAAAAATGAGGATATCCGCAGTAGAACCAAAGTAACCGATATAGACCAATGGATTGGAAATTTGAAGTGGAGATGGGTCGGCCATATAGCTCGAAGAATCGACAACCGCTGTGAAAGAAAGGTTCTCGAGTAGCAGCCTCGTACCAGTTGACGAAGTGTAGGGTGATACTCCACTAGATGGAGTGACGACCTAATAAGACGCAGGAAGTCGATGGATGCAGGTGGCTCGGGAGCGTGTATTGTGGCATTTCTTGAGGGAGGCATATGTTCAGCAGTAGATATGTGAAGGGCTGTAATGATCCACTGCCCTTAACGAAATGAAACGGTTCGCGTGTGTGCAGCGCTGTGCCAGGCGGCAGGTGTGGCGGCGGGCGTGGCGGCCGGGCGGCCGTCGCAGCGCGGTGCGCGCGAGTCGTTCGCGGGCCGGCGCTCGCGCCGCTCGTCCGTGTCCGACGACAGCCAGCTCACGGTCGAGAACTTCGGCGGCTCGCAGGACCGCCTGCACTTCGCCGGACGCAATCCGGAGAAGGAGCTCGCCACCGTCGCCGCCATGCCGCAACAGCGCAAGATCTCCGCGCCCGCCGGTAACCTGCCTTATACACTATCCATTATCCATCCATTAGCTCTCCACATAGTTTACCTGGAAAACATTTTGCCATACTTGCCACGCTAGGCAGGCGAAATGGCAACCGCAGTTTTTTTATTATATTGACTTGTTATCAGAAAAATGTTGCTGCCCATCTGTTTCAGTTTCCCTCTGTCGCCTCTTACGACTCCCACGAGACGAAATGGAATAGTGGTTATTCTTACACCGACTCTACATTACCTTCACAATAAAGAACAATGGCAGACTTTCATACATAAAATTAATTGAGAAGGAATGGTAGCATCTATATATCAAAAATATCTTAAAATGTTAAGCGTCAGTCCCTTAATAACTCTGTCAAAGAATTTTGTCCTGAGAAGGCGTCAAAAAAAAGATTTTTAGATTTGAATCTTATTAGGTTATGTCTTATGTCAGTTGGAAAAATCATGCATCCTGTGGTTGTTTGATGTTAGCTTAATACATTCTCAACATAATTTACCTATCTACATAATTGAGAGTTTTTAGATTATTGTATCTGTATTATATATTTGCATACTATAAATGTATATTTCTGGCGTGGCTCCAGGGCCTTTGTGTCATACAGTGACATTTTGTTTTTAGCTAGTGTTGCAATAACATTAAATGAAATTGTTACATAGTACTATGATTGAGATAATGTATTATTGTACGAAGTAAGGGACTTTGTAAGAGACTTATTTTCAACAATATCACTTTTATTTTTATTATTACTGATTTTATAGATATTACTGTTGGTAGTCTTACAAAGTGTATACGAAAATAGTATGAATATAGTAAATGGCAACACTTGAACAGAGTAAAATGATTAAAGTCATTTGATATTCTCAAAAATGTTTGTTTTTTACTGTGACTTTGTTAAAAAAACATTTTTATTTGAAAAATCATAGAAAAATAATAAAACTCATTTTATATATAACTTATTTCTAGACGCAATAATTTTTGTCAACTATTTTTCTGCCATTGTTCTTTTGTACATCGGCTAATTTCGTATTTCGGAATATGAACGACCGCATCAAGCCGATATATAATATAGGGTTGCTCTTATCGAATTATTATTGCAAAATTTTTTCTTAATTTGAAAAACAAAACACCATGGCGATTATATCCAGCTCTGTATGTTTCCGCAAAGCGATGGCGAACGTCCTCTCTTCATTCAACTGGTCGCAACTGACTCTTTTGCTTCGGCACTCGCACGGCTTGCAACTAATTGCTGTTCTTAAAAATGATATTCAATTTTATTCGTTTGTAATAAAGTTGAAATTACAGAGTATTTTTAGGACAAAATCACTTCCGTCAACCGTTTTTGTTGTGCAATTCGATTATTCCAGATGTGTGCCGATACACAATATTCATTCTGAAATATTGGTCATTTATCTAGCTGTGAAAATTTTATTCATGCTAGTTGTTATTTGATTCACTCAATTATTATAGCCTGTCAAAGTGTACTACTGAACATTGCCCCCTCCCCCATAGATTATCTCATAGGGGGAATGACCCACGCTTGATAGGTGGATTCGCGATCGCAGTATTATTATTAGAAAAACGCTCCTGCCCATCTCCTGTTTCATTTCCCCCCTGTCGCTTCTTACGACACCTTTATGATGATATGGGTTATCATGCGCCACCACCATATAACGAGTTTGTTATTTTTTATTGAACTAAATAATGTACTAACTAAATCACCTAATCACTTAATATCTTTCACTTATTTATTTACTTGCAAATAGTTTTAAGTGTGCCGTGGTATCTGAGGGGCTTAGCGTTTGCTGTAAATTTCACATTACGCGAGCAACCTACGTTCGGTCTTCGCTGGCACCAATGAAATTGTTACTTGCAATTTTAAGTGTTAATTTAGAACGTGCTTGTCGGGAAACCTGCATGTCTGAGAAAAAAAAATTCAAAGACATGTGAAGTCCGCCAACACGCATTGACACATCCTTGACCTAAAACCATTTCAGAAGTGAGAGGAGGTCTATGCCCATCAGTGGGACGTATATAGGCTGTAACTTTACTATTTTACATTTAAATAGTTTTAAGCCACTTTTTAAAATCGATAGCGCTGATAATATTTTATATATCTATCTTATTCTAAGAATAAATCGCTACACTTGAGAGGAGAATTGCCACTTGCATCGCATTCCATTTGATCCTTAAAAATACGAAAACCTATAATGAGATTGCATCACGTGTTACCCAACTCATTATAAATAAAACTGTCATAAATATTTTGATAATTTTCTAATATATTGTATTACAGGACCCGTGGATTACAATCCGCCTTTACGGTCGTCAAGGCAAGACATCCGCGGCTCCATTCAGTTTTTGCATGAGGACTACCAGAACGGTGATCAAGAAGAGCGCTCCAAAATGGAGCGACAAAACTCACAGCCTCAAAACACAGAGCAACATTACTACCCGATAAAGCGACAACTGAGCAGCGACACGATCACACTTAACCAAAGTTACGGGTTAAGTTATAAGGGAGGAGGGGATGGATTCTTTCTCAACGACAAGGACTCGACCGACGGGGATGGTACGAAAATGAGCTTCGCAGACCTCAACAAGATCAAAAGCAACGGTGACCAGCAAGGTTTGTGGCAATGTGCTGCGTGGTGGTAGTTTTACAGTTTATCTTGCAGTGCTGTTACCGGCATGTAATTTTTTTAAGTGAAGTATTTTTCTTGCACATTACATTTGTGATAACTCATTACTTTTACAGTTTTAACGGTTATGCAATAAGATTGGTGTACCACTGAAGTGGGGTCAATCAGAACATGACTAGAACTAGAAACCACAATGAATGTCTGAATTTTTTTTAAGCTTATTATGAAGTAAGATGAAAACATCGGAAAACATTTCATTGTATCTGTAATATAAATTCATCTGTTTTTTCATTTATTCATTATAGTATATCAAAAGTCCACTTTTGAACATAGGCATTTACCATAGATTGCCTGGTGAATTTGCTATAGTTTGCCACGCTGAGTTGGCGAATTAACAACCACAGCTTTTATAGTTTTGAGGAAGACGCTGCTGACCATACCATCTACACAGTGGCAATGTAAAATAATCCACTGCCCAATATCATCCCGTGGGTTTCGTAATATAAAATTAGTGAATGTTAATACGCTTTCAATGGTTTTATGGCAGTTAATCAAAATATATCCTCAGCACTACAAGTTTTAAATAATATTAATCTGAATATTAATTATAATTATGTATATAGTTGTTGTTATATTTTATATAAATTATAAGGGGGCGAAGAATGTTATGATGTACTTCGTTGATGTTAAAGTTAACGTGTATGATATTATGCTTACAGTTTAAATCAACCGACCACATATTCCCATTAAAATCCTGGTTGTGTTTATTTGAATACACACTGTATAGTAACCATAACTCTTACCGACTTTAGCCGTTTACAATGATGATTTTAGTGATAGTTCGTAACATTAAAGTGACCGTAAGTTTTGATTGCCTGACAGGTCACTTTAACCAAACAGACAGCGAAAAGACAGACAGGCGAAAAACGACGACTTTCTCGACACCGCCGCCCAACACCACCACCTGGCAGCAGCAGTTCATGCAGCAAGAACATCATCCAAGTTAGTGAAGTTACAGTCTATATACGAACTACTACTAGAACTAGTACGACCAACAACTTTTGGTTTTTTTTTTAAATGCAAGTTTTCTTGCGATTATTTCCTTCGCCGCCAAGTGCATGATAAATCTGCATTTTAAATTGGAAATACTAGTTCGTGCCGTCGGTTATTAAAATTATTTTTGTTGTTTACTATACAATTTAAAGCAAGCCTGTTAATCTACAATTTACCTGAGCTATCGCGGCTCTCCAAATAAGCAAGCATTATTTGTATGTGGTTAGTCGTACGACTAACGTAGCAGTGGTTGAAATAAAGTAGGAATCTTAGGAATGGGAGATATATGGAATAGAGGATCATTTGGTATGTATATTGAATATAGAAAGTTTCTAAAGTTTTTAGACATTGATTTTTTTTAATGATCAGACGTTTTTTGTTCTCATGAGGGGGAGGGGGGGGGGGGAGACATGACCAAACCTTAGGTTAACAATATGGTTTAATCAGAATTTAGTAGCTTAAATAATAAACCAAATAAGTTTACCATATAGTGTCGGCATAAGAGAATCTATTACCATATATCATATATATATGTGTGTGTGTGTGTGTGTATATGTATATGTATATATATGTGATAGAAGAAGACTGAAACAGGGGATGGGATTGCACCCGTCAGATTCTTCCAGATGTTGAAAGTCAATAAAAAAAACTGTGGTTGTCAAGCATAGTAACTATGCCAAATATCCTTCCTGTGAGGAAATCTATGGAAGAGGCTTATTTTCAGGGACTTTTGATAGGTTGTGATATAATAATGATGATGATGAAATAAAACCAAGATCTGAAGATTGTGATAACGAATTTGATATGCCGATGATTTGTGAATGTTTTGGACACTTTCAGTATGATCTTCTAGTATTTCATCGTTTTCCCTGGATAAACATGGGACGTAATTTTACTGGATGGTTTTCGGATTTTTTCGGACCGATACGTTTTAGGGACCTTCAAGAAACGAGCTTACTCCTTTTTAATAGGCCTGCAAATCACTTTCAAATCCTTGGTGTTGCAGTTGTTACTGTGAGTTGGGGTCGACACTTACCATCAGGTAAGCCGCACCCTCATTTGCCCCCCTCTTCTATAAAAAATTAATAAAAAGAACGTCATAAATGAAGCAAAAATATTGTGATACATTTTCAGACGGGTCGGAGGTATCGGAGGAGGCGGGGCCGGGCGGCGGGCAGGGCATGGCGGCGCAGCTCAACAACATCCGGCTCAAGCTGGAGGAGAAGCGGCGCCGCATCGAGCTCGACAAGCGCCGCATGGAGCTCGCCGTCAGCCGCCAGCGCCAGCAGCTCGGCCAGCAGGCCTTCCTGCAGGCCGTCACCAGGGTCAGCTGCCCCACTCGCTCACTTTCACTATGTACCCTACACTCATACCTACACTACACACTCGCTCACTCAGAATACCCTTTATTAATAATGATAGTAATGTCCTCCAGAAGGAATTTCGGTCACGGCGGCCAGCCTCAACCGAAACTAGACATCGGTGCAAGACAGGATTATAGTGCCCAAGTGTATGTGCAACCACAGGTGCACACTTTATTCCCTCATCCATACATACTCACTCACTCATTCAACATACCCTTTACAGTTCACAGTCACACACACAACATATCATGCAATCGAGTATGATTTTGACAAGTTCACTCAAACTAGTAAGTAAAAGTATGTACTAAAATGTGGCATTTAATGAATACTTGTTACATATATATATATATATATATATATATATATATATATTTGAACAATCTACAAGAAACATTGATAAATATAAGTGGTGTGGGTTTTTTGGTAGTTAGAATATTTTGTTGCGAAAAAAAAAGAAGGTGTAGGAAGGACAAGTTTTTTTTTATAAAATAAAAACTAAGTAATATCAGTATTTAAAAAAAATATTTTATACAACAAAATATATTTCAAAATACTTTTTGTTATCTCTATACGTCTATACGACGTCTATAGGCTGTTACTGTACACTACCATAAAGTTATATTCTCCTAATTTTGAATTATATAATATAGAATTTATTGTATTAATTGTTGTATACAATTTAATACTGCACCTAAATATGAACTCTTCATGTATGGTGAATGCGTGTGTACGTGTACGTGATATGTTGGAGTGGGATCTGTTTTTATTTAGTTGTAAAGAATTTCAATAAAGTATAAAGTAAAATTTGTTAGTGATCCAGTTTGGTATTTGTTACGGCTCATGTAATACATCGAAACAAAAACTACTACAGTTTACTTATTACTTAATTTCTTTTCACTTTGCCTAACATAATGACACATAATATTTATATTATAACCTACTTTTATAAAACAATATTTTATATTAAATAGATTTTCAATTAATGAATTCATTTTAATCATTAAGGTTTTGTAAAGGTAGGAAATAATCACAATGTAACTAACTTTGTCTCATTCTACTGGCGTATTCGTTGGCGACGAAAGTTAAATTTGTTTTTTCTATTCAATAGGATACGTTTTTGCAATACCAGTTGGCCTCTTTGGTGAGTGGCCGGTTCAAAGTATAGACCCTTTTTACTTTAGTCGTAGCCTTTTACGGAATTCATCTTTTATATTTTTGTAAATTCGACTTAGTTAATAATTCGCTTACGCAGCTTTAATTGAAGTATTTTGATTAAATTTAAATATTTACATCGTAGACTTAAAAATAGAAATATTATGAAAACAATTTACAATATTTATTTGAAATTATATTTTTTTCTATGCAGCAATTTCACATTCATACATTTATAAATAGTTATCAGGCAACGTACCAATATCGCGCTTTTCAATTTTGTAGGCAATAGATTACCAATCAGCCGAACTTGCAGTGTAAATTGGTATAGCTTACTCATTTTGATACATCTTAAAAATATTTCACGAGTATTTTGCTAACAGTAAATTCACGGCGACGAATGACCATTCCGTCAATGCAAATTTAAAATGCAATTTTATATATACTTTATTTTTATTACTTATTACTTATTTTTATTTTCCTTTTATCTTTCAATACTAGATTATTTTGCGCATGATTTAGTTTATTGAATTTGTTTAATTTAAAAAATCGCCTTGTACGACCTTTATTATTACTTATTTGTTAAATTTTAAGGTTATCAAGATAATAAAAAAACAGTATTTATATTAAACTTCCTTTTACAAAGAAAACCCAATTTTTCTTGCATTGCAATAGATTATATAAATATCACAAAATCGTTCAATTTTGTTAAAGACACGTGTTTTGCATTCATGTAAACATTAGAATCGCAATCGTAAATGCCTCCCTCGCGACATGTAGACCTCACCCGCGACACAGTGTCACTTGAGCGATTATTATCAGTGAAATATGCGGTTAATAAACCGATGACATGTTTGATTAATTTTCGATAATGCGGAAAATAATTAGAATCGAATACATAGAATAAAAATTAAGTAAATGTAACCATAGAACAATGTCACAGTCTCCCTTTCGTAATAAATATATAGGTTAAACACCAATTTCTTTTTTACTTTGTTATTACAAAACAATAGCGATATTTGACTAAGCGCAATTTGCTTCAAACTGTCTATATACCGATTAGTATTATTGTTGATAATCGCTCAATTTCCCCACACACTCGTTCTTAACACATACACTAAAGCATGCATTATGTGAGCAACGTGTTAAGTGCACGACACGCCGGTACGTATGAACGTATGTACGGACCTGCTAAGCTCGTGTGTTCGTTGCGTTTGCATTTATGTACGGACGTAAATACGTTCATGACTAGTGCGTGCGTGATACCCGATCAAAATAATGAACTGAAGGACCTTCAAGTGATGCTATTCATTTGTGGATGAATGTTTCATCCACAAGGTAAGCATGTAACCCTATGCAGAATTTGGATATAAAGTATTATATATAGTATGTTATGGACTAAGTAATTAATAGGGCATTATTCATAATGTCCATATATGTAATATATTATGATAAAAACTATTGAAATAAGTAAATTGAACGGGTTTCATGAATAAAGTCTGTTACTTTTTGATCAGGCTAATAAATATTTGTTTGGTAAGGTTATGTGTCAATTTGATAAACGATGAAGTTTAAATTAAATACGTAACCTGATTTGTCTTGCCGTTCTTCATATTGTCCGGGCACTAAAAAGTGTCATCATCACCACTTGGTCTATAACATATATGTTTTTTCCTGGCCCAAATCGTAAAGGCGCGACTAAAGTTAAGTTTGAGAAGGTTCCTTCCGTTCAGCATTATGAAGGGGCAGTGCGTACGTAGTTGGGTGCGTGCCGTGCGCGTAGTGCGTTGCGTGTGTTGTGTGACGGTGGAGGTGCACGTGCGTGTTGCAGGGCAAGGGAGCGCGCACGCCCGCCGAGGACGACGCCGGGAACGACCAGCCGCACGAGCAGGTAACCTCATGTACTGCACATGTCCATGCCTCGTGCTTTCATCTTTAACGTCACATTCAATGACTTTATCCCAACACTTTTTCTGCCACCAGGGCGGCGCCAATTAGAAATAAGGTGAAATATCTGACAGATTTTATAGCGGGTAAAGTTAATTTTTTAGAAAAGTGTAGAGATTAATATTACTTTCTGAAAAATTAGATATATTTTATACTAATTAGATTGGAAATAAATAAACCAATCTATGGATATTTCCAAAAGTAGAATAATTAAAAAAATTGAAAATGTAATTTTTTTAAAGAATACACGTAAATCTTATCATATATAAATCGCAACTGTTCAATGATGACAAATACAAAACAAATAAGGCTGCATAACAAATAAGTTCAACCTTAGTTCTAACTAGCGACTTCTAGTGAACATATCATTATTAGCCATCATTGCCCTGGAATTGAACTCATTACCTGTTAAGGAACTTTCAATATTTCCCTTGAATGCTTCATGTTAAATACAAAGGGGAATGCCCAATTCTGGCCATGAAACGCCCAACAATTTGCATTTGTTAAAAAAATACATCTTTTTTATGGTAATTAATCGCGGTATTTATGTATCCAAAAAAAAATTGTAATATGTTTGCACAAAAAAAAAAGTACCGAAAAGATAAAAATGAAATTAGGTAAATCCGCAAGTCATTAGTTTGTGGGTAAAATAAAAAGTGTTGCCAATCACAAATCTCGTTAAAAAGTCGATTCTGTTTTTTCAATCGATTTTTTATGGTATTATTATTATTATAATGGTAATATATTATTTTTTGATAATTATTATAATATGATAATTAAACAAGCGAATGGCTAGTTGATTTACCATGAACTCTTTAGAACATAACAAAAACGTTACTTCAATTTAACTGTTATTCTTATCTGTTCTTAAAAATATATTTAAAATGGAATTTAAATAAATAAAACAAAACATATTTTAAAACGCGTGCAAAACTTAAATCGAATCAAAGATTATTCTTTCTTTATGAAATTATAAATCGAATAAAAAAATCGCTATCTATGTATCGCTTTTATGTCTGTTAGTTGGCAACATCAAATCTGACAACTAGGCCCTTGTCATAATTATCAAAACTAAATAATCACAAGTTGAATTCCTTTGCATTTGTGTTATTTTGTTTGTTTTCTCGCGGATTTGTTATCTTAGCAACGAATAAGCTATCTAAATGGACTCCGATAATCCTTCTCGCCCTATTGACCACGGCCTGAAAATGGATCCCGCTCCCACTTCTTACGATAACCTCTGCACGAACTTGGACTCGATATCCACTTTTAACGATGACCCCAGCTTTGACACCGGCCAGAGTTCACAGCTCTTAATAACACATTCAAGATAACATTTACGCTGTGTCAATTGTGGTTTAAATGTAATGAAAATACGAAGTCATTTGTTGTTAAAAAACTGTTCTTGCGAATATAAAAAACCTTTATATCTTAAAATTCCGAACTTTTTTTAAACCAATTCCTTAACCATTCCATTCTTTTAATTGCATATTATCATTTCCATATGCTTTTATATGTGGGCACCCATGGCCGAACAGTCTGTGAACGGTGGGCATTCCCCTTTCTACGTTTACTCTTAATCTGAAAAATGATACATATAATATGTAGAGCCGAATACATTTTCTTGGTAAAATTAAACAACACCAATAATCTCGATATCATACTCAAAGTTCTTTATGAAAGAATTTATTATGATTAGCATAAATACCCCATAATATATTACTGTGTGATGTTTCCGAACAATCTTTTATACCGTTATGTTATGTGACTTCAAACTAATTGGAACTATATTTGTATGTGCATGATTTTGTGATTAAGAAGTATGCATGAACACAAGAAAATTGTGCAATATTTTATAATATTTGTGTATATTCAGTTTAATTAAAAAAAGTTTACAAATTTCTTAGCTGCCATTTTATGTGGTATCTATTTGTGTAAGCCTATATATGTCTGTCGTCTATTCGTCTGTGTTTGGTATCTAGTGCAAAAATAACTAATTTGTTTGAACAGATTATACAAACAGAAGAAATATTTATTATTAAAATATGTTTTTCAGATGTCATATTCACATAGAACGACTAATAAATCTATACTTAAACATGCGTTCACCACATATCTAATATAATATATCATAAGTAGATTAAAAAAAAAGCTATTGACAAATAACGGCTTCAAAATGATAACATAAATAGAATTAAAACATTTTGTTTATCAATATCTTTCTTTGTAGGAGATGGTGGTTGAACCGCCCAGTCAAACTGCGGAGAATGTGGCCTTGGAACAGTATCAGCAGTCTATTGCCAAGTAAGAGTAGTTTATGTTCTTATTTGAGTATGGTAAATGATTTTATGATAAATTGATTGATTTTCATATACACTTTTAAAATAGTTTGGAAAATCCAACAGTGCATGCCTCATGAGTGTTTCATTTAATAAGGCTTTTAAAATATATTATCTATGTGTTTTAAATTTAGCGCTCTATTATTTTAACAGGTAGTGTCACCTATAGGGAAAAAATTAATAATGTTTACCAAAATAAATGTATTACGCACTGTATAATATCGGTATAGGCTGTATGGTACATTTGTCCTTTGTCTATCAAGGGGCTAGAAAAATTATGAAAGCGCCTTTTAATTTTTCTTCGCGTTATGAGGCGTGCAATAAAGTTTTTAGAAGTAATTGTTTATGAAGATTGAACTATTTATAATTTTGAACAATAACAACAAAATTACAATCTCTAGTTTCTTAGTAAATGAATTATGTTTACATAAAGTAAAGTAGAAAATTAACAAGTCGCAACCAAACAGCTAAGTTACAGTATAAATGCCTATTGATTACTTTAAACTTTAAGCTTTAAAGTTATGTCAGATTCTTTGAAAGTCGTATAATTTAATGCTAGTGTCCACTAGTGTCCTCTAAACTACATATTATGCTAGTATTTGTGCATGCAACACGGCACACGCCTCTTGATTTATTAAATAAAATGAAATTTATTAAACTCTTCAATACACCAGCTGATTGTTGTATTTACATTAGGGAAATTATTTAACCAGCGAATAAAAGATATGTTGCCGACCGATTACAGCATTCTGTAATATTAATTTGAGCAGCATTTTACTATGCTGGCTAAAATAATCATATGCTGCTTAAGGCGAGCTCATAATTTTTCTTGCATTTAGTCTGAAAAAGTTTTTATTATATTTAACAATAAAAGTTAAAATCAACCGCAGGAAACAATGAGTAGTATGGGTGTTGTAAGAGGCGACAGTGGGAAACTGAAACAGATGGGCAGCAGCATCTGCTTGATAACAGCTCAAAGTAATAAAAAAATGCATTTGCCAACCCAAATACAACGCATGGCAGCTATGGTAAATATCCCCCCTATGATACAATCTTTGGGGGAAGCCTGTGTTTAGTGGTGGATTTTTGATAGGCTGTAATCATGATACCGGTTGGGCCATAAAGACGTACGATTTTTGAATAACTATTACGTTGGAGCGGTTTACGGTAGCGGGGCGCGGGAGGTGGGAATAAGTAGCTCGGTTCGCGGAAATTGAGTTGCCATGGAGCGCTTGACTGGTGCACAGCGTGCGTTCTGCGTAAAAAAATATTACAAAAACATCGATTCATACAGTGTTATTCGACGTTTATACCGTTCTGAGTATGGATTACACGACCTAAATCAGTGTCCCAGTGAAAGTGTGATTAGGTCTTGGGTCAGAAAGTTCGAGTCTACTGGGTCAACTCTCAATCAGAAACCTTCGGCACGCCCAAGGTCAACAGGAACAGAAGTTGAATCAATTAACGAAGTTAGAGCTTCCGTGCAACGTAGTCCTGGTCTATCAACTCGCAAGCGTTCAGCTGAACTTGCTGTATCCAGAACAACATTGCGACGCAAAAAGATCTTAAGTTTCATCCATATAAGATTCAATTAGTGCAGGATTTGAAGCCAAATGATCTCAATTTACGCCGTGTTTTTGCGAAACAATGTTGGAGTGTTTCAGGAGTTTCAAAAATATTCTTTTTTCCGATGAAGCCCATTTTCACTTAAATTGTCAAGTCAATAAACAGAGTTGCTCTTACTGGGCCACAGTAAACCCACGTTCCAAACATCAAAAGCCTCTGCATTCGCTGAAAGTTACGGTTTGGGCCGCCATTTCTGCACGTGGGATTATAGGTCCGTATTTCTTTGAAAATTAGCGGGGGCAATCTGTGACAGTAAATTCGAGATTTTTTCTTTCCACAACTGCAAGATTTCGAAGGATATAATCGTACGACATGGTTTCAACAAGATGGCGCGACATGCCATACATACGATGCCTCAATAGCAGTCGTAAACGAGAGGTTTAGAGGAATACTTATATCACGCCGAGGTGATATTGCGTGGCCGCCCAAAAGCCCGAATTTGACACCACCAGACTTTTTTGTGGGGATACATGAAGAGTACAGTTTACCACAATAATCCAACCACGATTGCTCAGTTGAAGACCAACATCGAAGAAGAAATGGGGGCTATTTCAAGAGCAATATCCCAGCGAGTTGTCGATAATCTAAGGTCCATATTGGAGGAGTGTTTACAGCGCAACGGTGCACATCTTGAGGATGTCATTCTCAAAAAATAACTTTCCCGTGTATATCTATTTTTATTACAATAAAGATTTATTTTTATAATATTTATCCTTTTTAAAAATAATTTTTTCCACCAAACTTTCTGGCCCACCCGGTATGATGATTTAAGATAATCACTTCAAGTTTGTCAAGTAACCCTGAAATGGAATTTACATAATTTGAATGCAGCATCACAACTTTTTATAAGAATAATTTAATGAGATAAGCTATGAAATTTGAAAGAAAATTAAGCACATTTTAATTTCCCATATTAAATTATTTCAATATGTTAATGTCTAAATATATTTATTGATTAAAAGCAACAGTTATTTTATATAGTAGTTTATAGTCAATACACGTATTCAACAAACAAAACTGAATGAATATTGTTAATTATTGAATATACTTAGCGTCAGTAGCCTAATGGCAGGGCGCGGACCGCGAACTCGAAAGGTCGTGGGTTCGAATCCGCCATTCGACTACTGTCGTGAACCACTTCTAATACAAGCATATTAAGCTTACCAGAAGTGGTTAAAGGGAATGCTAGTAATGTTTAATAGCATTACTAGTATTTTTTATAAAAAAAAATATTATTTCAATACATTTCTTTTTATTTTGTGTGTAACATCAGTTGCCACAGCGAGTATCTAACGATTGCAGAATGAACTCTAGCCTGCAGGACATACAGAGCGACATCGCGCGTCTCGCCAGCCAACAGAGCCAGCTACAGCAGCAGCAACAGCAACAACACCAGCAGCAGCAACAACAGCAGTTGCAACAGCAACAACAACTACAGCAACAGCAGCAACAGCAATTGCAACAGCAACACCAGCAGTTGCAACAACAACTGCAACTGCAGCAGCAACAAGCACAGCAGTTCTTCCAGCAGACGCAGGCGCCCCCTCAAGCTCCCTACCAACAACAGTTTCAACAAAACATTCCACAATTGGTGAGTTCATTTTATAAATATAACTGCGACTTTGTTTTAATGTCAGATGTCCAATGTACACTAATATTTAGCCAAAATAGCTTTGGTTAGACATTTAAAGGCGAATCCTATATTACGACCATTGCCTGAAATTTCAAGACAATTACTTTCTGTCTTCTTATCATATTAATATTATCAGATATATCTATGAAAAATGTGTAATAAAGTGAAAATATTCCTTTTGCAAAGCAATAAAATATATGTGATATATATGCAAATACCTTGCTCGCTTTAATTTTCAAACACAAAGACACAGAGGCACTAACACAACACCAAATAGTTTCAAAGTGTGTATATGAGTGCACCACGCTTTCGTTATGGAAAAATCAGGAAAATAGAATCACCAATTCTCTTTACTTGTAATTTCATTACATCTTAATATATAAGAGGTCTCTGAGTAGTTCTGAACCAAGGCTAAAAACGATTCACAGCTCCAGTAGGGAGGATATATTGATAAACTAGCTTCCAAATTAAGTTTTTCAATTTTAGCTATTAGAAATATTTCAAAACCGAATGATAAAGCAACAGCTAATTTAGTCCACTTTGCGTACTTACTATCACGTGTCGCGAGTTGCTATATTTGGGACCTTTTCAAGAAGACTAATATTGTGACACTTCAGTGGTTATTTATTTTTGTGAATATCATGTATGTACAAAAAAAATTAAATTAGATTAGTATATATGTTTTAATGTTTTTGCAATAAAATCTCCAAAAATATAATGCAATAATCCAGAAATAAAATTTAAAAATTTTGACATAGAAATTTTGTTAAATAGAAAGCTGTTGTAAAATTGAACATTTAAAAAAATATTAATGGGTATTTGACATTGTATTGATTTTATTAGTAGTTGTAAAAGTAATTTTAAAATAGCATTTAATAAAAAAGACAGGTTAAATACAGTTAAGTATATGTTTTATTTTCAATGTATTTTACTTTACTTAGGGCTGTATTCCACTAAAATTAATATTTATCTACTTTGAATAAAATTCACTTTTATCCCCGTGTAGTGACGGGTAAAAATACCCACTACCCCCTAATCTTCCCGTGGGTGTCGTAAAAGTAGACAGAAGGAAACTGAGGCAGAAGATTTTGTACGTAGTAGAAGAGCTATGCTGCAGCTATATTTCGGGTATAGTTGTAGTACGAATGGATCGGCTCGACCGGAGAAGGACCACGCTCTCACAGTATACCAGCGTAAAATAGCAGCTTAATGCTGCTGTTTCGTATGGTGAGTGTAGAGAACCGGAGACCCTATTTACTGGAAAAGAGGCATTCCATCTTAGTCCTCACGGGTGACAACGCATCTGCATTTTGATTCGCAAACGAGGATAGATGTAGATGTCTATGGGTTACAGCAACCACTTACCATCAGGTGGACTGTGTGCTCGTTTGTGTCACCCTATCCTATAAAAAAAGATGGGCAGCAGCATCTTTCTGATAACAGCAAAACAACAATAAAAATAACTGCCGTTGCCATCCCGCTTGCCAAGCGTGGCAACTATGGCAATATACCCCCCATGATTAAAGTTACAAAGAGACGGTTCCCAGTTCCCGGCGGCCCCGCTATTCTTGGTTACGGTAGCGACCATGGTAACTGCGGGGCAGGGGGTGCTAAGAATCTCCGGTGGAGGATCTGTTGCCACCTAAGACGACTCGACCTTGCAACATATAACGCACGCACCCTGAGTACTGACGAGAAGATCCTGGAGCTGGAAGAAGAGATAGACAAGTTGCGCTGGAATATTATAAGATTATCTGAGGTCCGAAGAGAGGGGAAAGACATCTATCACCGGAAGGGCGACCATCTGTCCCAAGGAGGTGTCGGATTTAACGTCCACAAGTCTCTCGTTAACAACGTTGTAAAGATTGAGAGTGTGTCGACTAGGGTTGCGTACCTTTTACTCAGAATCGCCAGACGGTATTCGCTGAAGATAATACAGGTTTACACACCAAATGAGGAAGTGGAGGAAATGTGTGAGGATATATCTAGAGCCATGCATTCCTCCAAAACCCACTATACGGTGTTAATGGGAGACTTTAACGCAAAACTAGGCACAAGAGAGAATGGTGAGCTGAAGGTAGATAAATTTGGAGTAGGGCAACGGAACCCAAGGGGCCAGCAGCTGGCCGGCTTCATGGAGAAAGAGGGACTCTTTATGATGAACTCTTTCTTCCATAAGCGGCCCTACAGGAAGTGGACCTGGTCGAGCCCCAACAAAAATGAGATTGACTTCATTATGACGACCACACGACAACCGTTCAGTGATGTCTTAGTGATCGCGAGGGTGAAAACCAGCAGCGATCACCGAATGCTGTATGTAATGTGATGGTCAACGCTGCGTCCCCCTCATCCTCTAATCCTAAGTACCAAAACCTTTCAGCTCGAGCTACAAAACAGTTTTAGTGCCTAGAAGATTGCAATGCAGTCGACAATATGAATGATAAGCTCGTGGAAACTGTCCATGCGGTCGGAGCTAAATTTTGCAAGACCCGTCGCAGAAGAATAAAAAAACTCCGATCACACTTTTGATCTCATGACTGTTAGACGGGAAATGAAGCTGCAGTCTTCAGTAGATTTGACTGTATACAGGCAACTGAACAGATAGATCTCCAATGCATGTGGCGGGACTTACGCAACTTTAATAAAGCCAGAAAGAGCCAACTGTCGAAGCTGAAGACCGAGTATGACAGCGTCGTTTCCGGGACACCTGAGATTTTGAGTGAGATTGAGAGGTTCTATGGGCAGCTGTATATATCATCGTTGGAGCCACACACAAGTGTGAGTAACGATCCAAGAACAAGTCTTATCCGACACTATTCCGATGATATCCCGGAAGTCAGTCTGAGCGAGATTAGAATGGCCCTCCAGCACCTTAAAAACGGCAAGGCCCCAGGCGAGGATGGAATTACAGCGGAGCTTCTGAAAGCGGGTGGAAAACCGGTACTTGAAGTCCTTCAGAAGCTCTTTAATTCCGTCCTCCATGGTGGCACTACACCGGAGGCGTGGAGCAGAAGTGCGGTGGTGTTATTCTTCAAGAAACGCGACAACGCGCTCTTGAAGAACTAAAGACCGATTACCCTTCTGAGCCGCGTCTACGTGCTGTTGTCGAGAGACATTACGAATCGACGCAGTCTCGGCGACTTCCAGCCTCCCGAACAAACCGGTTTCCGAAAAGGCTTTAGCACCATAGACCACATACATCATCATCATCATTACAGCCCTTCACAAGTCCACTGCTGAACATAGGCCTCCCCCAAAGAATGCCACAAAGCACGGTCCTGAGCCACCTGCATCCATCGACTTCCTGCATATCTTACCAGGTCGTCACTCCATCTAGTGGGGGGACGCCCTACACTTCGCCTGCCGGTACGAGGCTGCCACTCGAGAACCTTTCTTCCCCATCGGTTGTCGGTTCTTCGAGCTATATGGCCGGCCCATTGCCACTTCAGCTTACTAATCCGTTGGGCTATGTCGGTCACTCTAGTTCTACTGCGGATATCCTCATTTCTGAGTTTATCACGCAGAGAAACTCCGAGCATAGCCCTCTCCATAGCTCGCTGAGCGACCTTGAGCTTCCTCATCCGGCCAGCAGTGAAGGACCACGTCTCAGTTCCGTATGTCATCACTGGCAACACGCACTGGGTGTACAGTCTCGTTTTCAAGTTTTGAGGTATACCTGACGAGAAGATGTGCCGTAATTTCCCGAACGCTGCCCAACCGAGTTGAATCCGTCGATTGACCTCTCGGTCGAAGTTGGACTTACCTAGTCGGACTATTTGTCCCAGGTAAACATACTCGTCAACAACTTCGAGCTTAGTGTTCCCAACAACTACCGGCATAGGTGTGACATGGACATTAAACATGATCTTTGTTTTGTCCATGTTCATCTTAAGACCTATCCGTTGGGAAACACTATTGAGGTCATTGAGCATAGTGCTTAGGTCCTCCAGCGATTCTGCCATAAGGACTATATCGTCGGCAAATCGAAGGTGAGTGATGTACTCGCCATCTTTCCAGTCCAGAAGCTTGAAAACATCTTCAGCGGTAAAGAGTTTCGGGGATATGACGTCACCCTGTCTTACATCTCTCTGCAATTGGATAGGTTTCGTACTCTGGTTCTGTACTCGGATAGCCATCGTAGCCCTACTGTACAAGCACTTCAACACTTCGATATACCGACAGTCAACTTGGCATCGCTGAAGGGACTGCAGCACCGCCCAAATTTGGACGGAATCAAAGGCTTTCTCATAGTCCACATACGCCAGACATAGCGGCAAATTGTACTCCTCGGACTTCTGTACAATTTGCCGAAGGGTATGTATGTGGTCTATGGTGCTAAAGCCTTTTCGGAAACCGGCTTGTTCGGGAGGCTGGAAGTCGTCAAGTCTGCGCGCGAGACGATTCGTAATGACTCTCGAAAACAGCACGTAGACGCGGCTCAGAAGGGAAATCGGTCTGTAGTTCTTCAAAAAAGCGTTGTCGCCTTTCTTGAAGAACAAGACCACCGCACTTCTGCTCCACGCCTCCGGTGTAATGCCACCATGGAGGACGGAATTAAAGAGCTTCTGAAGGACTTCAAGTACCGGTTTTCCACCCGCTTTCAGAAGCTCCGCTGTAATTCCATCCTCGCCTGGGGCCTTGCCGTTTTTAAGGTGCTGGAGAGCCATTCTAATCTCGCTCAGACTGACGTCCGGGATATCATCGGAATAATGTCGGATAAGACTCGCTCTTGGATCGTTACTCACACTTGCGTGCGGCTCCAACGATGACGTGTACAGCTGCCCATAGAACCTCTCAATCTCACTCAAAATCTCAGGTGCCCCGGAAACGATGCTGCCACATTCTGTCTTCAGCTTTGACAATTGGCGCTTTCTGGCAGACAGATCTCTGGCAAAGACTTTGGAGCCTTGGTTCCGCTCGATCGCTTCTTCAATACGAGCTGTATTGAAGTTGCGTAAGTCCCGCCGCATGCATTTGGAGATCTGTCTGTTCAGTTGCCTGTATGCTGTTAAATCTGTTGAAGAATGTAGCTTCATCTCCCGTCTAACAGCCATGAGATTAAGAGTGTGATCGGAGAGTTTTTGTGTTCTTCTGCGGCGGGTCTTGCAGAACTTAGCTCCGACCGCATGGATAGTTTCCACGAGCTTGTCATTCAAATACCACATACATATCTTTTGGCAAATTGTACAGAAGACCGAAGAGTACAATCTGCCACTTTGTCTTGCGTATGTGGATTATAAGAAAGCCTTTGATTCCGTCGAAATGTGTGCGGTACTGCAGTCCCTCCAGCGGTGCCAAGTGGACTGTCTGTCTGAAGTGTTTGTACAGTAGGGCTACGATGGCTATCCGAGTACAAAACCAGAGTAAGAAACCTATCCAACTACAGAGAGGTGTAAGACAGGGTGACGTAATATCCCCGAAAGTTTCATTGCTGCATTGGAAGACGTTTTCAAGCTACTGGATTGGAAAGGATACGATACGATACTCACTTACCTTAGATTTGCCGACGATATAGTCCTTATGACAGAACCGCTGGAGGACCTAAGCACTATGCTCAATGACCTCAATAGTGTCTCCCAACGGATAGGTCTTAAGATGAATATGGACAAAACAAAAATCATGTTTAACGTCCATGTGACACCTATGCCGGTAGTTGTAGGGAGCACTAAGCTCGAAGTTGTTGACGAATATGTTTACCTGGGACAAATAGTCTAACTAAGTAAGTCCAGCTTCGACCGAAAGGTCAATCGACGGATTCAACTCGGCTGGGCAGCCTTCGGGAAATGAGGACACATCTTCTCGTCAGGTATACCTCAAAACTTGAAAACGAGATCGTACAACTAGTGTGTGTTGCCAGTGATGACCTATGGAACTGAGACGTGGTACTGCACTGCTGGCCGGATGAGGAAGCTCAAGGTCACTCAGCGAGCTATGGACAGGGCTATATACTCGGAGTTCCTCTGCGTGATAGACATGAGGATATCCGCGGTAGAACCAGAGTGACCGACATAACCAAACGGTTTAGTAAGCTGAAGTGGCAATGGGCCGGCCATATAGCTCGAAGAACCGGCAACCGATGGGGAAGAAAGGTTCTCGAGTAAAAAAGAGTAACCGGCGGATGATGTGTAGGGCGTCCACCTACTAGATGGAGTGACAACCTGGTAAGACATGCAGGAAGTCGATGGTTGTAGGTGTCTCAGGACCGTGCTTTGTGGCATTCCTTGGGTGAGGCCTATGTTCAGCAGTGGACTTGTGAAGGGCTGTAATGATGAATGGTATTTTGAAAATCTTTCTCTGCAATAGTTTTATTTAATTATATTTGAATTTATTTATAATATAGTTTTATTTAATTATATACCTATACCTGTATCATGATATATACCCTTATACAGGTATAGGTATATACTGTATACCTATATTTTAAGGTACTTTTCCTTCTATGTACATTATTTAAAGAAGGAAATAAACAGACAATGTCAGATATGCATTGCGTAGTGGTTGATTTATAAAAGCCATTTTTTCAGCGCAAAGCTTTTCTTTTTTCATATAAAATTAATTAAAACGTATCGTTCTGATTTTATAAACTCAATCATGTTGGAGTATAAGTCTGTCAGAACTACTCAGTCGCGTCTCGCAACAAGCACTCACTTTCGCGTCTCCGGCTTGTGTAACGCACAATAAGGTGACACTCGCACACGCGCACATTGCAGCACAGCCAGTTCAGCTCGCAGCACAACGTGTCGCGCGCGGGGCTCGCGCCGGGCTTCGGCTCCACGCCGCACATCCCGCGCGAGTACTTCGCGTACGAACAACAGCAGCAACCACCGCCGCAGTACCAGTACCGTGACGTGGACGAGTCCGCGGCGCGCCAGTTCTACCTGCATGAGCGACAGGAGCGACAGGAGCGGGTGGAGCGGCTCGAGAGCCCCGCGCCGCGCCGCACGTGGGCGCAGCACGCGCAGCTGCACCACGACAACGCGGAGCTGCGCGCCTGGCAGGTCCGTGCCCGCTCGGGGCATGACACACTACACATACGCCACTCCTGACCAGGGTTTAGGAAAGCAAGCGAATTTGAATCTTAGGATTATACTGCACTGAATTGAAAATACATGACCCCAATCCCCATAAATAACATTTCTCAAAGAACATTTTAGACAAATAAGCTGCAAAAACCTAATTGTGATATTAAAATTTTCACTCACATTCCCTATTTAAGAGGCCGGTCCTTAAAAATCGCGCTATAGGCAGTTACGATTTTAAAAATATTTAAGAACTGACTTCATTGAATGACACCACAAAAAAAAATCTCAATTAGTCAATAGATAAGTCTTCACATTCACTAGGTGATATTTATGAAAAAAAATCATGATTATCGAGAAAAAAAATCATCAACAATGGTAATAACACTTAAAACGGCCTTTTCTATTTTAAATCTCTAGGCTATTTCGTAATTATTTTAGAAAATATTTTGGTTAAAAGGTGAGATAAAAGTATAGATAATACATTCACCATTCATTTTTTTTTACTGATTCAAACCAAAAACAATAATGTAAGTCTAAAAATCATTCATTTTTAGCAGAAATCGTTTCCCGCTTTCCTTACATTTTAGTATGAAGCGATTAGATTTTCGTAATTCGCTTTATATTAGAGAATACTCGTGAAAAAAAATTTAGTGCCGTCTCAATTTTGAAAGTGATTGCACGTCAGTTCGTAGCTCGATTTGACGAGTCGAGTCGATACATCTATTGTTTGACATAGCATAAGGGAGGTTCGCGACTATCGGTCACAACTGCTAAAATTATTTGTATTCTTCGAGTAAGTCGACTAACTAGGTATGTGAATTTTATTATATATTGTTTTTTGTAACTATCAGACATTATCCATTTCAGGTATATAATTTAGGAAAACGCAAAGAAAGTTATTGGAATAAAAAAAATCAAATTAATAATGTAAGCATATGAACCACTCAGAAACTCGCTAAGCAAGCAGTCTTGTTTTAGGACTCGACTCAACCGGTGCAGTGGGGATGTATGATCTGGTCCTTGAGTGAATTATTGATCAGTGAGTTACCCTCTGTGGTGTCCACCCATTGTGATATCAATTCCCTACTAGAATAGTCCTATCCTGATTAACTCGTCGGGTTCTTTGTTGAGGTTACCATCCGATCTCGATGACTTTAAGGTTATTTTAGTAATACCTTATACCGAGGTTATAGTTGCAATAGTTAAATTTAGATTGATAACAAATATTTATAATAATATAGAAGTTATCTAGTCTGTTATCCTGTCTTCTAGTGTTATGGCTTTTCATTAGTGCCGACAAAATACAATATGTGACAATAACTCTGTGGTTCCCGTTAAGTGCGTTATCAGGATCAGTATTCAAACGTATATAAATAATTATATACGTTTGAATACTGTTTGAACGTATATTAATAATATAAATAACTGCCTCCACGATACAGGAGAAAATCCTAGTGTGGGGGTAACGTTCTTTTTTTTAAGAGAAAAAAAAATTATACTTCAGAAAATTCAATATAAAAATAATATAATTAAATTTAAATAAAATAATATTTGTAAATTGTATGTGGATTGATTACATCTGCATGGAATGCATTTATTAACGCAATGGCTAGAAATTAAAAATGGCCAGCGGCGACATACATCAAACAGCGTGAACTCGTTACATAACACTTTGGTAATCGATTATCAGAACTTTAAACCTTTACTTCGACCGATTGTGATAATTATGCACAAACACTAATTCATTACTATGTCTACTTGACGACCACGAAGATATTGTTCAAAGCGTTCGCCTTGTACCTCTATGCACTTGCGACACCGGATTATATTATAAAGTTTGAACGCACACGTTGCAGAACAGACATTTCAAACTTTATTTTTGCAAAGGCTGCGACTATTCGTATACGCATTTTCGCCTCGGTGTCACTTTTTTTTTTTTGAATACGGACTGTCAGTTTAATTGTGCCACAGAGATAAAAGTCATCGCCGGCCAGCTGACCGGTCCACCACGGCCAATCCATCTTTCACCGAATTTTCCAAGACATTCCTTAAATTATAATATTAAAATAGTCCTCCTTTGTTGTTTGAGTCTGACATCGGATACAAATCACTCACGGCGGTTACTTAAATTCGTAATGTAAAAAACAGATCCATCCGGAAGTAGATAAATTTCGTCGGAGACAAATCGTTTTGCAGTTATATGCGCTCGAGCACTACTGGTTGGTGGTGATGCTTCCGAACATTCGAATTTATTGTTATGTGCGTGGCAAATCGACTGTAGTCTGCAACATGATTTTGATATTTTCTGAATCAACGGAATTTGTTGCGATTTCTGTATTTCTTTGATGTATTTTTTTCTAATGTTTTGCAAAATCTACTAATTATTATTGAATATTCTCAACGCATTAAATGCATGTAAAGATAATACAAAAACCTTAATTAACATACGCATTTTTTTATCGGTCGTTGATAAACAACCCTTATTTTTATATATTTGACTACTTATTTTTATACTTTTAACTGAAATGTGAATAAATTTTGTTTATTAAATTTTCCATGTTTTTAAATAACTACTGAAAAAACACGGGATCAAAATAAATCAGTTGGCATATACTAGACGATACTTTTGCGATCATTCTAAGTGCGTGTTATTGTTGGGGATTTTCCTATACTAAACAATACTAGTACGTAAAGTCCTACGATGACGAACGAATAACGGGTTTGAGTTTGAGGAGCACGCGAAACGCCGCTTGTTTTATAGTAATTTTATTTTGTTTTTTACATTCTTTTAATATGGTTCTAATTAAAAAATAATTTCTGTTACATATTCTTTATCGATTAGTTTCACATGAAAAATGCATAATACATTTCTCCTAAAATTGTTGCAAGTTTGAAATTAAGCACTACATTTTATGCTTGAATCAACCTTTTTTTAAATTAACAATATTTTCCCAAATCTCTAATTATGGTGGTTTATAACATAATTATACAATAACAATGTGTATTGACAGTGAAAGAATATTCACTACTCCAAATCATCCCGTGGGTGTGGTCAAAGGCGGCAGATGGAAACCAGGAGATGGGTAACGGCATCTTCCCAACAACAACTAGATCCAAAGTAATAAACTGCGGTTGCCATCCGGCCTGGCAAAAGTGGAAACTGAAAAACACTCCCTTATGAGGTTATCCGTTGGATAGGCTTATGTTCAGTAGTTGACTTTGATAGATCGTAATGAATGAATGAACAATGTATATTTGATCTCCATATAAACGAGAAACTGTTAGAACTCGTCAAAAAATCGTCACCTACGTAGAGGAACTAAGAATTTTTCTCGTTAAGTGACTTCGTAAAATTATTTTTGTAAGATAATTTATAATGTAAAATAAATATGAACATATTAAATATTATTAGGTATTCAAGAAGGTATATGGAATGTTCATAACTGCCAGAACATTATTAAAAATATTTTTGTTATTATTTCTATTATTTTTAAATTTAAGGTTTCTGAGAATAACTGTATCTAGAAAAAATCACTGAAAGTAACTATTATACATCGCTTTTAGCACTAATGTTATAATAATATATAAATTTAGATGAAAAACATTTTAATTATACGTACTTTGTTGTATAAACCATAACATTATACCCATATATTTAAGGAAAACACGAATTAAGTTAATCATTTCACCTTGGCAGTAAAATGTAGCCGCAATGTTTGCAACATATAAGATATGATATGCAACATATAAGATATCTTGAAAGATACTGATGAGAGGACTATTCACACACAAACTTTGGGGATGCTTAGAAAAAATGCTGTATCGGCCGTGCCTGAGGCCCAGAGTGGCCGTAGGTATGTCGGCACGTGTCGTTTAGTTCAAATATAAATAACAGTTTTAGAAATATGAAATTTAGTGAGTTACTTGATCAGAAACGCTAATATCCCATTCATAGTGCCTTATTTTAACCTTTATTTTTTAATACAATATCTTTTATGAAACCTACATTTCCCATATTACACTAAACGTTAATAATATTTTTAATTTCTTCATAAATAAAAAATAATAGGTAACATAATACCTAGAAAGCGTACACTCTGACCCACCCTTTGCCGTCAGCTATTAATTATGGGCTCGCGGACTTCGCTATGCGACAAGCAAATGACAGAATAAATTGCAAATGGCTACAATGCGTATTTTTTGTGACATTCATGAACATCCTACAAAAACGAACGTATGATAAATATGAAACTTGTGCGAAGCACCAAAAGTAATCTATTCATGTCAAGGGCGTATAATATAATAACACTGCGTATAATAACACTGCGCGATGCGTCTATGTGAATTGAAAATATCAATGTGTGTTCTATTAGAAGTTACCACGTTCAAGGACTACAGTCTTAACAGCAATAAAATAATATAATAAACTTCCTAACGAACTAAGAGCTGAACAAAATAAAATAAGCATTAATTAATTAATTAAAGAGAAATATCAATAATAATATGATAATTTCTATTATTCGCTCAAATCTTATTTTTTTTTTTTGTTTTATTTAGCTACATACAATAATATTAAATAATTTTAATTTAATTCATATTACTTTTTTTCATACATATCATACAATAATTTTGTACCATACATGGTACGACATCATGATATCCAAGTGGGTTTCATGATATTGTACCGTAAATTTACCACCTATATACAATCAAAAACGCAATAAATAACTATGATTCTAACCTAGTCCAAGAGTAACACATCTAAGCAGGTACACAACTTTTACAATGACGCTTATTTTGTCCAAATATGACTTTCCCCAAAAATTAGACTTCCCCTCACGCTAACGCCTACCACAAATAAAATAAAATATAACAAACATAAAATAAATGAAAGAATATTTGTTATTTAGAAACAATTTATCGAGTATTGATATTAAATAATGTAGCCATCGAGTTTTAGAAAATATTTAAGATTGGCCTTCGCATAATAATTTGTTGAACGAATTAAGTGTCCGATTATATTCAAAAAGCTCTGGATTTTTCGATACTTAAATCTTTACACAGTTAATTCAGATTTTTATAGTATATAGTTGTTTGTTACAGTTAATAAAGTTTCTATTCCAAATAGTGAGCATTTTTTTCACCACCTCCAGTAGATTTATTAAAATTTCTACTCCTACCAAGCCATTTTACTTAGGGATTTAAAAAATGCGTACATTCTCTTTCTTCACTGAACGTCTTAAATGCGATTACGAAAACCTTCCTGACTGATTACGTAGAATCTTTACTGTCTAAAGATTAATTACATTTTCCTTTTCCTTTCATGAATCCTAAATTCAGTGTAGTTTAATAAGTCGTTAACCCAAATAGTTTTAAGGACCTACATGTCAGACGTGCACTGCTCACTAACCACCAATTCATTCTAGGTGGTAGGGCTTTTTTTCTGCCTTATTGCTTATGCCAAATACATATAGATGGTACATATTTAGACTATCTTATTCATTCTGATACTGAGCAAGCAGTCCACTCACTATTGAGTTCCGACATGAATTGAGTTAGAGTTATTGTATGGATGTAAGATATGCGATCCTGTAGGAGTAATAGTATTGATAGGATTGGCTGTAGGTTTAAAGTTGATAGTGTATAAATGTAGATTTCCATGACTCTAATCAACTAATTAATATCAAGTCATCCTTGGCTACTTACCATGAGATAGACTGCAAGGTTGCTTGTCAAACTAATGTATTGAAAATATTTTAAGTATTATAAACCAGAACATAACTACAATCCCATCTCATAGTAAGTGATGATGCAGCCGAAGATGGTAAAGCGCATACACTCTATATTTCAAGACACCCTTGTTGTAATAGGATGGAAAGACAGATGCTGGCAAATAATTCAAATCCTTTGCTTCGTTTTTTTCTACTCTTGCGGAAGTAGATTGATATTATTATAAGATGGCTGGTATTAAACTGCCTAAATTGTCTTTGATGTCATTACTGCTTGGACAGGTCTATGAAGTAGTTGTGTTTTGTAAAATACTGTTACAAGCTTGGGGTTCGAGACAGTTAAAAACTGCCGATTGAATTACCAAAATTGACACTTTAATTACAAAACACTAATTACAACTTAAAACCACACTAATAATAAAACACAATTGTACTACTGATCACTAGTTCACAGTTGTATCGCTTCGAAGTATTCGCTTATATCGCCAATTCAAACCTGCCTCGGTCGTGGTCCATATCGGCCTTGTATAGGGCCTCAGATAGTTTCCAGAACCTTCTACTGTAGAAACATCTAGAATGTTCGAGTACATATCGGTCCCGATTGACTAGGTGTCGATAGTTCCAGAAAGTGCTTCCATGGATATTTCTAGAAGGTTCTTGACTCTACTGATGCTAGAGGGCGCTAGTGGTATTAATTGTGGCGCGCAACAATACTTTTATTGTGTTGATATCCCTACAGTAGTTATTGCCGGATAAACAATGGTTTCTGCTTTATTTATAATTAAATTTAAATAGTTATTAGATGGTATAGGTAATCAGCAATTTTTCACATAAAAGCTTACATGAATGCACATGTGGTGTTGGTCTATTTTATTCGGCTGTATATTTCAACAAGATTCAAAAAATTAAATTCATCAATTCACCTTGTTTAATATACTTCTTAACAATTTACAATTGTATGTTTCCAGCTCCAACAACAGAATCAGCAACAGTATCAGCCACCCCACGAACTGCCACAGAGAACATGGAAATCACCTTCACCCCAACCGCCACCGGAGCGGAATTGGAACCCACAGGGTTTCATTCTCCACGATAGAACGAATCAACCCTTCCAAGTGCATTACAACAACGACCGGTATCAAAATGGTACCGAGAATATTCGAGAAACACAAAACCATTTAAGCTACACTGTGATAAATCCTAGCCAATACGTATCCCAATCGCCTCCGCCGGCGGCTAGTCCGCAGCGGCGCTCGAAAACCCCGCAACGACAGGGATCGCTGCCGGAAGTTTCGAGAAAGCCGGAACCCGTCAGCTTACAGCAGCTGCAGTCGCCCGTGCCCGTCCCCCCGCCGGACGACATGGAGCCGCAGAACATATCGTTCATCGGCAACGCTGAAGACGACGCCTTGCGCCAGGGGATAAACAGACTGAACATATCATCGGGTACGCGCACCTACCGCATACCCTCGCCGACGAGACCTTCCCTCAATAGAAGCTCGTTCCAGCACCTCGAGCAGGAGGAGCCGAGCGAACAAAACGAGAAGGGCTTCTATATATCGTTTGACAACGAGCAGCCGAAGCGACCGAAGCCGCCTTTAAGGGCGAAACGCGGCTCTCCGAGGAAGGAGCGCTCAGCTTCAGAGCAGCACAGTCCCGAGCGAAGTCCCGAGCGTAGCCCCGAGCCACGCGACGACTTCCCGGTGCACAGAAACGCGCCCGCCGACCTTCACGCACGATCTAATGACGTTTCTTCGGAGCGAAGAGAAACGCCACCTAGAGAGCGAACACAGCGCGCCAACAACGCCGAGCCGGCGGCATTGATCATCGGCGAGCTGAATCCTGATCCGGTGAGTGGACGAACACATATACAATTATTTTTTTTAACTCTACAATTTGTTATATTTATTATATTTGGCGGCAACCAGGAGTAGTATAACGATAAAAACATATATAGTGCCACCAACTTATCTGTTCAGTTGACAGCGTCGCTAGTGGAGTGCTTACTATTGCCATTTAAGAAATTTACCGAGGAAATATGTAACTACATATTCATTACACATAATATAAAATAAAACAAATTTCGTGTTAATACATTAAAATTAGTGAGAATTAGTGTTATTATAATATATATTATTTATCTTTTATAAAAATAATTGCGGTCGTGATCTCGGAGTTCAAGCGGCCGAATTCCGGAATTTCAGTTTTGAAAAATGTACCCGCGTTAGCTACTGGTTCCAATAATTCATCTTCTGAGTCACTGGAACCGCTTTCACTATCGCTCTGACACTATAATAAAGGGTTCATTTAAATACACGTCTTTTAGTCTGTATTAATTTTCAATTTTTTTTTTACATGATTACAAATGTTTTTTCACTGTACCGGTGTAATTTCATAAAAAAAACCTTCAATTGATTGGGGCATTAGAACATTAGCAACACAAACTACAAAGTTTAAAGTTTACTTTAGATGAATTGCAGTAAATTGAGATAATTTTTTTACTGTTTCACAAGTACATTATTTGGTGATTTTAATTTTCCACATCTGGCAATACTAACCTGTCGCGGCAGCAACGCTTTCATACAGGTTTTCAAATGGTATAGTTGGGACTTGTACACGTTTCTATTCTTTCATAAAAGATAAAACTTTTAGGATAATCTATCGCACATCACTTTTAAGATTTATTTACACTTTTTAAAAACACTCACCTGATAGCTCAGAATAAATAATAGCTGACAGCGAAATGTCATTTACAAAATGGCGGTTTTAGTTCCAATTATATCCACCTGAACAGATAAGTTGGTGGCACTATACATACATAAGCTCTCACTCCTGTCACCCAGAGAAATACACAGAGACTACTACTACCTACTAGGCGTGTGTATATCTTTACGGAAACGACTCACTGATACGAATCACTAGTGACACAAAAGATTGGTTTGGTAACATCGTTTCAAATGTATCATTTGTATCTGGAACAGTGAAACATTACTTTGCTCTTTGCTCATTTCGCGCGACGCGTCGCTTGCGAGGCGACTGAGCCACGAGCGAGATAGAGAGACTGAGACAATGATTAACTTAACTATTGACTCACGAGTGGCGAGTGAGCGGGCGAAATAATTATAATCCACACAAATCAGATAGAGATAACAAATAAGAAGTGTATCACTCAACTCGTACGGATTTTCGCTGACGTTATTCATGCACCTAAAAATTACCACTAAGGCGCTTATGTGTCAAATACTATACGGTCGTTTTTTGTATATAACGTTTGCATTAACAAGTTGTCATTTTACGTTGATGCGGCACTTGTCAAATTGTTTATATTCATTAGCGCCTGTTTACGAAAACATACTCAGTTATGTTTAGGATTTCTTTGCGTAGTGATTATTGTGACTTTACTTTCTTCCTTTTCATCATAAAGTTTAGAGTTATGATAATTTACGAGTAAATTCTGTGTACATAGACATTGCTGTTTTGTGTAAATGGACATTTTTGTAAATAATCAATTGACATAGTGACATTTTTGTTAAAGTATGAAGGAGAATCGATTTTATATACAATCTTATTACGGTACACAATAAATAATCTAAGCACTTATATTATTCAGCATTGTTACCACATAACATTTCACGGATCAGTCAGTAATAAACGCCCGCGACGCAACTTAATGTACCTGTTCGGAACATTGTTTCTTTTATATCTTTTGAGTCGATGATCCAATGAGCCAAATGAAACATATCAGTGTTTCGGAACATTTCAGTGATCAAGGTGCAAATGTTCCAATCTCAAAAATGACACACTTTGCCCACTTCCACTACCTACATCTCTGGGTGGCCCAATTGTATGTTAGTTTGTTAGAAATCTGGGAAAACAAACCTCACAAATGAAATAATTCTGTAAAAGCGCCATCTACACGGTTTGTCAAGTACTACGAGGGCGGCACTGAAAATTTCGGGAATCAAGGAAAGGACACAACATTACTATTTAAAAATGTATTTATTGTTTTTCGAAGTATTCTCCGCGAAATTTGACACATTTTTCCATACGATGGAACCAATTATTGAAGCAACCATTCCATTCGGAAGTTGGGGTCTCCAAAATGGCCGTTTTGTAGGCGTCCATAGCTTCTTCAGGTGATGAAAATCTCTGTCCACGCAATTTATTCTTTATTTTAGGGAAAGTATAGAAATCATTAGGGCTTAGGTCGGGGCTGTACGGCGGATGGTCTAATAATTCTATGTTTTCTTGCTCTAAAAACTCTTTTGTTCTGTGTGCGGTGTGAGAACTCGCATTGTTGTGATGGAGGATGAGGCGGCGGTTGCAGTTCTCTTTACGGAGTTCAGAAACGACCTGTGGCAAACCAATGCTAGCATACCATTCTTTGTCCCTCAAGAGGAATAGTCGTAACATGGCCGGTTTTGGAGACAAACGTGGCCACAATTTTTTTTCCAACACTCCGTGAACGAACAATTTTAGTTGGCTTTAACTCATTTTCGAACACCCAAACTCGTGACTGGTTTTTTGTTTCGGGTTCGTACCCGTATATCCAGGATGCGTCACCTGATACGATGTTGTATACAGCATTTGAGGATCCTGCGTGGAATCTTTAGAGAGTTCTGACGCACCAAGTAACGCGAGCCGCTTTTTGCTCTTCATAGAGCGAATGCGGTATCCATCGGGAAAACAACTTTTTTACACCTAATTGTTCATGCAAGATTATTTGTATTTGACTCATGCCAATGTATAAAGTTGCCTGAATTTCGCGGTATGTCACATGTCGATCTTCCTCAAGCAGCTTACGCACAGCATCAACGTTTTCTTGGGTGACTGCAGTTTTTGGACAACCTTGACGGGAATCATCACTGAGCTTGACATGTCCACGTTGAAATTAAACAAACCAGCGATAAATTGTGGTTTTGGATGGGGCTTCATCATCAAATGCAGAATTCATCCGGTCAACACACTGTTTTTGTGTTAAACCCATGAAGCAAATACAAAGAGGAGACGTTGTAATTAAATTTCAATATGTAACAACGCGTGACAATTTGCGGGGTGAGGGGATGCAAAGCCCCGCCCACTACACTATCTACATCTACCGATAAATAGTAAAACTACTCGAATCTTTCCATATCGATGTTGCAATGTAACTTAGCTACCTTGACGGTAGATGGCGGCATGTCCACAAAATGTTATAAACTATAAAAAATTGTATGTAAGTGATTCTTTGCATATAGAATGCCACTTAAATATAACTTAAACATTTCGTAAAAATCAGCCTAAGTACAATTTCCTGCATTTAACGGTGGTAGAGCCCCGCAGCAGTTTTTTTGCTGTTGCACGTATGGGCAGGCTCGAGCCGGGTTGGTACCACGACCTCACAGAATACCGGCGTGAAGTAGAGGCTCTGCTTCTGCGTTTCGTCTGGTGAGTGCAGGTTGCCGGAGGCCCAATTCCCCCCCCCCCCCCCCATCAACATGGTAGCGGAATTACAAAGTAGACTACCCCAGGAGGGTACCAGTACCCCTGGAGAATCCCTCGCTGAGCATCCACGACCATGTTATTCCAATCCTGAGCGTGGGTGCTCAGGCTGCCCCGCGTATTCTGGGGGGGGCAAAATTCCGCTCAAAAACAAAACTGCTTGGGGCAAACTGAGCAACAATACCAAGGCGACCCCTGCCACGCTATCCGTGAATTTCTGCAACATCAGGGGACTTCACTCTAACCTAAACGCCGTCCACTACCATCTCGAGACGGCGAAGCCGGCCTTGCTCTTTCTGACCGAGACGCAGGTTTCCTCTCCGGCTGATATTTCGTATCTCTCCTGCCCGGGGTACAAATTGGAGCACTCCTTTGTGCCTCGGGCTGGAGTTTGCGTGTATGTCAGAGAGGACATCTGTTCTCGACGCCTCGGCAGTCTTGAAGGTTCGGACCTGTCCATCCTTTGGCTACGCGTAGACAGCGACGACCATCCGCGCGTCTACGGGTGCCTCTATAGGTCCCATAGCGGTAATGCCGAAACAGACCGACTCATCGACCACGTCCAAATGGCTACAGATTCCTTGCTACAACAGGTCCCATCCGCAGAGATCGTGATCCTTGGCGATTTTAACGCCCACCATGCCGAATGGCTCGGTTCACGTTTAACCGATCATGCGGGGAGATCTGTTTATGACTTTGCTTTGGCATATGGTCTGACACAACTGGTTACTTCGCCTACACGGATTCCAGATGTGGAGGATCATACACCTTCCCTGTTGGACCTTCTGCTGACCTCTCATCCGGACGGATATCAGGTTTCCGTCGATGCCCCTCTCGGCTCTTCGGACCATTGTCTGATCCGGAGTATGGTGCCACTCACGCTCCCTTCGCGGTTGCGTTCTGCAGGTTGCCGCCGTGTTTGGCATTACAGGTCGGCGGATTGGGACGGAATGCGGTCTTTCTTTGCATCCTACCCATGGGGGCGTGTTTGCTTCTCGCCGGATGATCCCAGCGCTGTTGCTGACTCTGTCACTGATGTGGTGCTACAGGGAATGGAACTATTTATTCCATCATCTGTGGTACCCATTGGAGGCAGATCTCAGCCTTGGTTTGGTCGCTCCTGTAAGACTGCATTGCGCAGAAAGCAGGAGTGTTATCAAGCCTGGGCTGCGGCTTCGGTGACTCGGGATGTAAACACCAGCACACTTAAAAAGAAGTATAACTTCGCCTCCAGGTCCTTCAAAAGAGTTATTGCCAAGGCAAAGTCTGAGCACATAGGCAGAATTGGCGAGAAACTAGTTCGCCTTCCTTCGGGAACCCGTGCATTCTGGTCTCTCGCCAAGGCTGTCCAAGGGAATTTCTGTAAGCC